AGACAATTCCTTCTTTCGCCATGAAGTGGTATTTCTCCCACTTAAGAACCAGATTAGAAGAGAGACATCTTTGCAGGACTTCTTATAAGTTAACCAGACGGTGATCATATGATGTTCCCAAAACTGAGAAGTCGTCCATGAAAACTTCAACTCCTTCACCTATTAGATCAGAAAAAAGAAGAAGAAAACATACACCTTTGGAACATTGCTGGTGCATTACATAATCCAAAAGATATCCTTCTGAAAGCAAACGTTACGTGGGGACAAGTGAAGGTGGTTTTGTGTTGATCTTCTGGTGCTAAAGCAATTTGGTTATATCTAGAATAACCATAAAAAAATTAGAAGTATTCCTTACCTGCTAGGTGGTCCAACATCTGATCTGTAAAAGGAAGTGGAAAGTGGTCCTTTCTGGTAGCATTATTGAGTTTTCTATAGTCCTGACGAATTCTCCATCCTGTGACTTTTCTGACAGGGATCGGTTCATTTTTTGCATTCAGTTCCACGGTTATGCACCCTTTTTTGGGAACACACTTGACAAGACTTACCCAATTGCTGTCCGAAATAGGATATATGACTCATGCATCTAACCACTTGATGACTTCCATTCTAACCACCTCTTTCATAATAGAGTTTAATCTCCTTTGATGCTCTACTGAAAAACTGTTAGGATAAGTCAATAATATTTTATGCATACAAAAAGAGAGACTGATACCTTTAAGGTTTGCTATGGTCCTGCTGATAGCTCCTTGGTACTTTTTTAGCTTGCTAATCAGTAGTTCTTCTTGTTCCATTGTGAGGAATGAGGAGATGATGATAGGAAGGGTATTATTGCTCCCCAGATATGCATATTTCAAATGCTGAGGAAGAGGCTTCAGTTCTAAGTCAGGAGGATGTTCTGCAGATGGTCTTTTGACTTGCTTTTCTTTTTCGGTTCTTTGCAAAGGTTCAGGTTTTCTTTCTTGCAGATATGGAATCTATTCCTCCTCTTGTGGAATTTTTTCTTCTTCTGTTTCTTCATCGTATGAGTTCATGTTGATCTGGTAATCTGACATAGTGATTACAGAACATTCTTCCAGATCTTCTTCTTCATCATGGAATTTCATTGCCTTGATGACATTGAATTTGATCTCATCATCATGTACTCTAATGGTAAGTTCCCCTTTTTGATATGTTGTTACGCTGTTTTATGAGTGCAAATGCCATATGATATGTATGTGGGGTGTTCCACCTAGACGGTAATCCCTGAGTATGTGGAGACATACAAGATGGTAACTCTGTGGGTGAGGTACAAGAGAGGAGCCTTGTACTGTGAGTTGTAGGCATACGTAATTCCTACCTTTTATTCTCTGGCCAGTAGGATGCATACACACATGACATAGACATATGCTTAATTGCATGGATATATGTCATTATACTGTTATTATCTTTTGAACTTATATTGCACATGTAAGTGAGTTTGGGGTGGAGAGATCCTTGAGGACCCCTTGTCTTACTGAGATTTCTTTTAGAGATTTCACCCCGTGTGGGTTACATTTTCAGGTACAGGTTCCTCTGAGGCTGAGACCTCTGGTAGTAGGATGCTGGAGTTGAGCTGATTGATGCATGTTTCCTTATTGCCATAATATCATATGATTATGCCTGATTCCTATTATATGGCTATGATTTAACTATGTTGTTTTATTTGGTGAGCATGGAGGTTGTCCATGCCATACTGGTATGAGTTATGTTTATTTCAGACTTGAGTTATAATATGGTATCAAGATATTGTCTGATCTACATGTTGTAGTTCCATGACGTGATACTTATATATGATATGAGGTTATTCAGTGTAGTTTTATTACAATTTACATACAAGAGATGTCTTGAAAAACAATAAGTTAATCCACTTGGTTAATATAATAAATTTCATAATTGGAAAAGTTAGCTTCCGTATTTATTGAGGTGCGTTATTACCATTTGTATGTTTAATACACCGGGTGCACACAGGGTGTTACAAAGCTCGCCAAAAAGGCTCTAGAAGAAGTTGAGGGCAAAAGCGGCGAGCGGCAAGAAAGTGAAGAAAGATATAGGGGAAAGGACCCGGTTGTTTCAAAATGAAAAAAATTTCCCTCCGCTGATGAATTAGCCAAGAGGGCTAATAGGCACCTTGTTATTTGTGATGCTGATGACCGAGCTCTTTCAGCCTCTAAAGATCAAGCTTCTTTCGGATCGGAACCAACGGGGGAAAACGAAAAGGAGGAGGGACCGCAATGACTTCTCCAAAGAAAATCAAGGTTGTTGCCTCTGGGGAAGTCAAGTTTTGGATCTCATCATGGGGGTCGCTAGTGATTCTACTGATGTCGGTCAAACTTCATCTTCATTTGTGCCCATTGCCCTAGTTAGCACTTTGGGGATATCCGAGGGGGATATTTCTTCTATCACACTTCCAAGGTTCCTTAACGTGGTATGATCACCCAAATACGAGTTGTCGATCTTTCTTTGATCCGAGTTTTCGGGCAGGATATCTATGGTGTGATCGCCCAAAGTGTTGATGTGATCATTGTTTGTCTTCAAGCTATTAAGCTCGTGGCTCTGGCGTAATATTTTGGGAAAGATAAACTAATTGCTGCTCTTCAATGCAAGATTGATGAGCTTACTTATGACATCGATCGGCTCAAGAAGGAGGTCAACACCCTTAACTCTTACAAAAAGGTCTTGGTGGATAGCAAGACTTCTTTGGAGCTATAAAAGGCCAAATAATAGTTGGCGGCCAGTTTTCAGAGGACTAAGGAAGCTTTGTAGAATGCTCTGTACGACATGAAAGGGATAAATTGAGGATTGTAGAGTAAAGGCAGCACTGAAGGAAGTCTTTGTTGACTTCTTCAAACACATGGTCAGTCAAATTGCCCTTTGCAATGGGTAGGTAAAATTGTAGCTTGATTATATCGACCCCACGTATGTCGTGAGGGGTAATTGCCTAGTGGAGGAACAATGAGATGATTCTTACGAAGTGATCATGTACTTTGGTCCAATGGTTCCTCGCGTTGAGGTCGAAGATAATTTGGCGGGCGGCCAGAAAATGGATGAGGTTGTGATCGTAGCGAGCGATGATGAAGCTGGTATGGTGGGCGGCCATAATCAAGAGGAAATTTGAAAGACTGGAATATCAATTTCTCTTGTATTCTTTTTTTCTTTTATTGGCGAGTTGGTATACCGACACTTATGATTTGTATCTGATAATTCTCTAAAAGAGAGTTATTTTTATGCTTAATTGTGATGTTTTGGTACCATGGATATGCATAATTCTCTTGATTTTGTATGATTAATGCATGAATTCTATGTTTTCTTGATTTTAATGAGAAATATATTAAGTGTGGGTATTTGAAGATAAATTGAGTGTTGGGACCAATTATTGCATTTGCTATTTTATTTGAGGTCAATGCTGTAGCATCGGAAAGCAATGTTGTAGCAGTGTAGATGAGGTCAGCAGTGTATATGGTTGACATCATCACCATGAAGCTATGGATCCAAGCCCAAATTAATGGAGAAAGCTTTTGAACGCGTAAACAGGGACCTGATCTGATTACGAACTCATGGATCTTCAAGGAATCATAATCCAATCTCCAACAAATCAGCGCTCACAAATCCAATTCAAATCTGAATTATATTTGGAAAGATTTGGAGAAGATATGCAGCAGCATGTTCTGTCAGCATTACAGCAAAACAGAGACATATTCTCAATCAATCACAAGGCAGATTCGAATGAGATTTGCAATGGATATGAAGAGCTCATTGAAGCCCAAAGCATTGGAATATATAAAGAGAAGAAACCTGCACACGAGAGGCACGCTGGAAATGTTTTAGACACCCAATTGAAGGCATATTTTAGAGAGAGAAAGTGGGGAAACACTTGGAAGGAATTTGAGGGTTCGTTGAGAGATATCCAGCGAACCAAAGGAAGGAGCTAGGGATCAATAGAGAGATCATTGAACCCAGTAACTTGTTGCATTACTCCGGAGGTTGAGGCAAGGTTGATGGTGGTGGAGCTCTCGGTTTCTGCGAGAGAAGTGCCACAGGCAACGTCCCTCTTTTTCTTATCTTAGATCTATCAAAACTTATTCTTTCTTTGTTGTTTCTTTCCATCCAAGTATGAGCTAAATTGTTAGGATTTGGTGATAGAGTACCCTTATTGTGATGTAATCAGAATTTCCAAAACTTTGTTGCATGATTTTCCTTTCAGTTGTTTAATAAAGTGTTAAATTGTCTCTAATCTTGTTAATTCATCGAGAGAGAGTTGCAAGATAATTAGGATTTAGGCTATAGAGATATAGGTGAGGTACAAGAGAGGAGCCTTGTACTGTGAGTTGTAGGCGTACGTAATTCCTACCTTTTATTCTCTGGCCAGTAGGATGCATACACACATGACATAGACATATGCTTAATTGTATGGATATATGTCATTGTACTGTTATTATCTTTTGAACTTATATTGCGCATGTAAGTGAGCTTGGGGTGGAGAGATCCTTGAGGACCGCTTATCTTACTGAGATTTCTTTTAGAGATTTCACCCCGTGTGGGGTACATTTTCAGGTATAGGTACCTCTGAGGCTGAGACCTCTTGTGGTAGGAGACCGGAGTTGAGCTGATTGATGCATGTTTCCTTATTGCCATAGTATCACATGATTATGCCTGATTCCTATTATATGGCTATTGTATTGGAGACATGATTTAACTATGTTGTTTTATTTGGTGAGCATGGAGGTTGTCCATGCCACATTGGTATAAGTTATGTTTATTTAAGACTTGAGTTATAATATGGTATTAGTTGTCTGATCTACATGTTGTAGTTCCATGATGTGATACTTATATATGATATGAGGTTATTCAGTGTAGTTTTATTACAATTTACATACAGGAGATGTCTTGAAAAATAATAAGTTAATCCACTTGGTTAATATAATAAGTTTCATAATTGGAAAAGTTAGCTTCCGCATTTATTGAGTTGCGCTGTTACGGTTTGTATGTTTAAACCTTACCAAAGAAATTCACACCTAGCTCGTCATTTCCCGTGAGATTTCTCTCCGATGAGAGTTCTCATGATTCTCTAGCGATGTCGTCGTTGCCGAGATTGATGCTTTTATTCGTCATCCACGCCAAGGAGATGCCCCAAACATTCGTCTTTGAACTGCAATATTCGTTGCCTAGTTCTCTAAGCTTGAGTCGGAGGTTTCTGAATTGCAACCCTCCCTCCACCATCGTCTTTGCAAGATCTCAGAATTGCAATTAGTGTGAATCTTGGGCAATCAAAGGTTTCAAAATATATTGAATCATTTCTCTGATCACTTGGTGTTTTGATATTATTTTTTTTGGTTTTGTAGGTTGAGAAGAATACTTTGACTTGTGTTGTTTATCCAAGGTTCCTAATTGATTCTCTCTGTACAACCTGTTTCCATGTTTGACCTCGTCCAAAATTTTCTAAGATGCACAATAGTGAATTGTTAATTTAAATTCGAGATTCCATGGTTTTGTAGTTTTTCTTTTCTGCATGTATAATTTGGAAATTTTAGCCGTCTGTACTTGCAAACTTGTTCTACGAATTGGAGAGAAAGATAGTTTTGTAGTTGATATGTTATTTTCTTTCTACCTTGGCACATTATCTCTTTGTCTGTGAGCAAGGAAAAAATATTGGCCTATAGTTATTTTATTTTTTATTACAATATAGATTCCCTTATGTGTGATTGTTGCTTGGATTATGGATATCTAAATGGACCTTAACTTCAACCTAATAGAGACATTTTCTCTTGCTTTGGCAATAATAGCCACTGCTTTCACATTACAGGTACACTTACTCTCATTTTAGCTGGCAGAAACATCCACTACAAAAAAAAATCTGTAGTGATTTATGTAGGTCAAGGAGCTACAGACCAAATTGAGGAAAAATTGTATTGAAGTAGAGAACAAAAGGTTTGATCATTTACTTCTGTATATTTTTTTTCGTAAAATTGTATTGTTTTTACGATTTGTTAACATAGATGATAATGACATTGAAATGACTTGTATGCACTCTTCTTTCTGTCCTTTATTTTGCCTTATGTTTTGAACTCTAAAGTGTATTTCATCGGTATTTAATGCTGCCTTTTTCAAATTACGCGATTGATTTGGTAAATTTTTTCATAAGTGCATCCAACTTGTTTTCTCTTCTAATAATTATTGGGCTTAGAAAAGTTTTATCTATTCAAGCCGGTTCCATTTAATAAATTTACTCTTTTCCAACAGGGATGCAAGAGAGTTGAATAGACAAAGATAAGTTAGAAAAAGTGAAACTCTTTTGGGAGAACAATTATTAAGAATTAGATTTTGTTTTAAAATGCCTAAGTGATATTATGGATCAATCATTGAATTAAAAATGCATAAGTTAAAACCATATATATACATCCATTTTCTATTAGATTATTCTTGTTCTACACTAGTCCATGGGAAGAGAAGAAAATCAATTCATTCAAGAAATTATTTATGGATCAATCATTGAATTATATGGCATATTTTATTTTGCATTGAAGACGAAATTTAGTTATTATGGTTTATGAGAAGCTTCTTTCTTCATTATAGATATTATGTTTGGAGTTATTACAAGAGTTTTAATGAAAGCTGAAGGTGTTTCCTTTTAACATCTTTATCACACTACTAAAAGTAGTCACTTTGAAGCCTATTGGGATATTCCAAAGATCATAGAACTGAGGAAGAAGTTTAAAAATATCAAGCAAATATTCAAGTGACATGTGTTTTCTAATTTTTCTAGGTATACTGTTACTGATTTCCATATTCTGCTGTTTCTGGAAATCTCTCTAGGCACTACAATATGAATTAATTTTAATTTAGGTTGCTCTTCTGCATTTTTTTTTTGTATATTTTGTTTTGTGATATGTACTTAACCTTACTAGATATGGAAGTGGTTTTGTCCCAAGGAGGCTGTGTAACTGGGTTTCTCAATTTTCTGTTTTTGTCTCAGCTTAGGTACTTGAAAGGAGACAGAAGAAACTAATTTGCTATAGCAGTTGTCTGATGCCTGCTTGGTTGTTGTTGCATTAGACCCTATTGTAAGGGAAGAGTTAGTAAATAATTTCTTCAATTGGGAGCTTACTTCGTATGATCAATTTTTTTAAGGATTTGGTATGTTATATATATATATATATATATATAACTTTAATTTTGTGTTTGTTTATTCATAGAGATCTTGCCAAATGTCTGTAAGTTTGACTTTTTTATTTTCTTTTTTCCATCTTTAAAACTAGCAAAGTTGGATTAAATTGAACGAAGATATGCGTGGATCAAGTGCCGGATGAGGTCAAATGAAGAAATTTGGAAAATCTTTCCATCTTCATGGCATGTTTCTTGTCGGCTTTGTATCCTATTCTATAAGAAGACAATGTATGGTATTTATTTGTTTATAGCACCATATAGCAATGGACCTTCTATGCTTTCTCCATTAAAATAAGCTATGGCCATCGTGAAACAGATTACTTCAAGTTAGTTGTGAAATGACATTTTGATTTATTGAATATGAATATTTTTACTACTACAGCTTGGAAAGTTATTTAGACTTCATTTTCCCCTTCTGTCTGATATTGAATTTTTAACGTCAAAATTGAGATATTTTCATTGTATATTTCATATGTGGTATGTTTACCACCCCCTCTCTCTCTCCCACAAAAAAAAAAAACCTCTGATGTAATTAAGCATTTTATAGAATATTGTGCCTTTTCATTTGTACTAAACTTAGTTCAAGATTACTATGTACAAAAATATTTGTGTTTATGATGCTTGTCTCCACAGCAAACAACTTGAGAACATTCTTGCTAATCTAAGGGAAAAGCCAGATGTTGGGACCTTATTGTTGGTAAGCCATTAAATATTGAAATAATGACATTATTGTTATAATAATTGCTTCACATGTTATGATGCTATGCAGCTACACTTTATTGTCACTGTTTCTCTTTCCTTAGGCTTTTAATTATAAAATAACTGTTGGTAGATGGTTTTATGCTATTTCATTGATAATGGTAATAGTCCATAAGTTGTTGATGGAATGTATTTATGCTGCAAATTGCAAACACATAGAGTTTATGTGTTATTTTAGTGTTTCATCTGTTCATTTCTTGCAGGCTTTACAGCGAACTTTAGAGTTTGAGGAAGAATTGGCCGAGAAATTTGGGGAAGGCACTCAAAACAGAGAGATTGGAAATGAGATTGAAGAAATAGGTAGAGGGACTAATTCTAGCAGTAATGGAATTTCTTCATTTCTAAGTGATTCTACCTTGGAATTTCTTAGTTTTTATTTTTAATTCATGATTTTGATCATTTATTTTTGTAAAGAAAATTCTTATTTCTAAATCTAAACCTTTAATTTGCAGCAAAAAATGGAGTATCCATCTCCATTGTAAACGATGTAAAGGTACCCTAGTGAGTCAGAAGTTATCTTCGTTCATTGAAAATAGTAACAGTTACAGACTGATATGTATAAGATTGAGATGCTATAAGGTTTAAGTAAAGTTGCATTTTGCACTTTACAGGCCATATGGTTTGCAAATCTGGTTTTGGCCCTTTGTGTAATAATGTCTGAAAATTTCAGTTCAACTTTGTTTTTTGAAGATAATAGAATTATGTTGAGAATTTCAGTTCAATTTCAGTTCAACTTTATACCTTTTGAGGTAAAAGATTACTCTCTAAGTTAGTAAGTAATCCCAAACGATTGTAGAGTATGGCTCTATTTCAGTTCAACTTTATACTGTTTTCGATTATAGAGTATGGGTGTTGAAATCCCAAACGATTTTTAATCTTTCCATGGTAGTATTAATTATAGGATGAAATAGAGCCACTCATATAATAAATTAGTAAGTAATTGAATTCAAAAAAAAAATTACATTTTTTTAGTAGAAAAAATTTATAAAATTGATAGGTATATATTTTGGACTTTAATTGTCTAATCAAGGAGTCATATTTTAAATGCATGACCAAATTACACCAGCAATGCAAGTATTTAAGAAAAAAATATCTTTGTATTTTTTTTTATCTTATTAGAATAACAGGCACAATATAGCATAGAGTTCCAAAGCATAAAGGACTCTTGATATCCTGTCATCATCTGAATGTTTGCACTATTCCATAGGCCAAGCATTACAGTTAGCCTAAGGACTAAAAATCATTGTTACTAGATTTATCATTCAAAATTTTGTATATGACCCCTTATTAGTAGTATTCACAATACCATTTATCATATACCTACAAAGTTATTGATAGGAGAGGGGATACAATGGAAATTATTAACCTGGATTTTGAAAAAGATTGCAACAAATAGTGGAGGTCTGTGAACGCCACAAAGGCATGTATACTATGGGGCTCAAAGAACGTCATAAAGTGAAACATGGGAACAATAGAAAATGCAATGTTCTAGCGGTTTGTAACCCCCACAAAAAGAAACATGTTGTGGTTGTCTCTAACCTCCATAAAATGCAACATGTTAACCCCCAGGACATGCTGCAATAGATAGTGGCGTTTGCACAATAAAATGTCAGAAATGGATTGTGGCGCACGTGAAACTGGCGTCTTGGCTGAATGCCACAAATATATTTTGTGGAGATCTATGACCCCCACCACTTATTAATATAACCCCCACTAAATGCTTGAATTTTTGTAGTGACTTATTATCGACATTTGTTATTATTTGAAGATCATGACCGGATTTTTTTATTTTTTTTTTACATTTTCAAATTTTGATATGTCTATTTCTAAATTTCGTTAGAACAAATTTTAGTTTACTCTTAATTTTGTTAAAATTCTAAAAAGACAAATTGTCATACTATTACAGCCCACATTCTAAATGAGTAATGTTCTCATTATTGTATTTATGTTTCCACAGGATTTTTACTACTCTTAATTTAGTTACATCACATAGTACTTTTTCTATTTGATGTGTTTTTGTAATATAGTGTTTATTTTAACATGAAGATTTTTCTCTATAATTATTTATCTCTCGGTATAAGTTTTTTTTATGTGCGATTATATTACTCTAACTTACACCAAAGCTCAACTCCACATTATGTACTAAAAAAAGAAGAAGCTCAACTCTACATTTCCTTATAATCAATAGACTATCCGTAACACCCACGTGAACAACAAAAACAACTTTGGGAATTATCATAACGTAATGGGAGTTATCTCTTGGAATTTGTATAGACAATCTATTTTGGTTATGAAAAGAAGTGGGTTAAGGAAGAAAAAAAAGAAGAGAAATTGAAGGGGTGTGTGGGTTTTAAGAAGTCTCACATTGGACTACTAGAAAGAGGTGAGAGAATTTATAAGCTTCCACCTCACACTCCTAAATTGCCCCTTGGGGCACTACACTTTTATGGAAGGGAGAGGAGCTAGGTGGCCTTTGGTCCACCATGCGCACGCCGCCGTCTGACCAGCTCAGATAGGTTCGTACGTATTATTAAATTATTTTTTAATTTTTTGTCCAAAATACCCCTGTCCCTATTTATAGCTTCCCTCCAGATTCTTCAACCCAAACATTTCTTCACGCCGATTTTTCGAACATTTTGAACCGAACCGATTCTTACCTTTTGCGAACCGGTCACCGGTCGTACCCGTTCGCGGCCGTCAGTCACTATGGTTCGCCGGCGGCGGCAGTTCATTGTGATCGATTAGTATCTATAAATAGACCCTGAAGGTGTGAGAAAAGTGCCTTTGAAGATGACATCTGGCAAGATAGTGACACTCAATGATGTGCTCCATGTGCCTGATATTCGTAATAACCTAGTTTCTGGATCTTTATTGAGAAAGAATAGCTTTAAGCTTGTGTTTGTTTCTGATAAGTTTGTACTTACTAAGAATGATGTGTATGTAGGAAAGGGTTACCTTAATGAGAGCCTTTTCAAACTGAATATGATGACTATAAACAATACCAGTAATATTAATAATACTACTACTTTTAATTACTTCCTTGATGAGTCTTCTAATTTTTGATATAATACATTAGGACACGTTAATTTAAAATCAATTAAGAATTTAATTCATTTAGATTTATTGTCTAAATTTGAATGTATAAATAAAAAGAGTCAAGTATGTGTTGAATCAAAATTTCAAAATTACTTTTTAAATCGATTGAAAGATCAATCGAGTTGTTAGATTTAATACATACTGATATATGTGACATGAAATCTACACCATCTAGGGTAATAAGAAATACTTTATTATTTTTATTGATGATTGCAGTAGATATTGTTATGTGTATTTACTTAATAGTAAAGATGAAGCTATTACTGCTTTTAAGCAATATAAAAGTGAAGTTGAAAATCAACTTAACAAGAAAATTAAAATAGTAAGGGGTGATTATAATAACCCTAATTACATGATTTTTAAATTACAGGGTTATGATGAGTACCTTATGGTCATAAATAGAATGAGAATGATTCTAAGAATTTGGATACCTATATTGAGGGTATTCCAGTCAGGTGAATTTTCATCTTTTGTTTTTTACTACTGACGCAGTAATAGACCGTAGAATAACTTCAGTATAGTGAATTTAAGTTAGAGAGCTATCCTAATGATATGAATATCATAAATGATGTAAGCATAAGATTTGATGAAATTTGATACCCATATTGGGGGTATTCTGAACAGTTGAGTTTTCAGTTGTTGTTTTTGACTGTTGACGCAGTAACAGTCTGTAGAATAGCTCCAATCTAGAGTTATAGAGCTAATCTAATGATATAAACATCATGAATGAGGTTGGTATATGAAATGGTGAAGATTGATACCCATATTGGGGTATTTCTGAAAAGTCACTTTTACCGGATATTTTGTAATGCTGTAGAAGCAGCCGATAGAATCCCTGAACGAGAAAAATATGAGAAAATGGAAAGAAAGACCAAAATATGGCTAACAAGTCATAATTAGACCAATAATGTTAAAGTTAAGAAGATTATGAAATTCGGGTACACTTAAGAACATCGGTAAAGACTACAGTGCAATTAAACAGCTATTAGTGGATCTGTGATCCACTAATCAAAATTTTAAGTTATGAACATGATAATTATATAAAATTAATATTAATTACTTAAAGTAAGGATCTTGGGGATTTTCAGGTAAAAATTTGATAATAATTCAAAGAAAAATTACACGGGTGTCACTAAATGACAGAAAGCCACTTAATGACATGGCATAAACCCTAAAAACATAAGGGACATTTCCCCTCATTTCTGATCAGCACCCTAGTAGCCCCCTCTCTCTAAGTTTGATTTTTCAAATTTTCTCAACCTTCTCTCTAAGATTCCACCATCAAAACTTCATGAAGAAGTAAGGCTTGAATCCATGAAAAAGATGACTCCAAACCCTTCTTCCCCCACTTTCCATTTCGGCCATAATGATTATATGTTGATAATGATGTTGTAAATTATTAAAAATGGGGTCTTATTGTTAAATGTGTTGGTGGAAGTCTAAAACTCAAGAAAGATGAAGACTTGTAGGAAAAAGTGTCACCTTTGGCTTGTGTGTGACTTATTCTTGATGTGGATGAACTAAGAACCCTAGAAACCCCATGCTTTGATTCTATCCTCTTCATTAATATTAGGGTTTAATGGTTAAAATTAATAAAGATGACACCTTTGGGGACTAAAGACATAAAGGACTTAATTAAACCATGAAAGTGTGTTAAAAAGACAAGTAAAAACCTTAATCTTATGACTATGAAATTCAGCCATATAGATATATATTAGGGTTTGATGTCTTAAAAAGGTTCTAAGACTTAATTAGGACACTAATGGAGGGACCAAGTGAGGTGGATTAAGCATAATTGATTAATTAAATCTTAAACACTAAAATTTGAACTAATTAGGGTTTAGGACCACTAATAATGTAATTAATGAAATAAATAAACTAATGCATAAGTGATGATGTGGAATTGCATAAGGGATGTAAATAAATGAAAAATCCTAAATTTATGCTCACTTAGGGTTTCTAACTAAACCTAATTAGGATTTGCTAATTAAACACACTTTGGTTAAATGATCAGTTTTTAGGCTAACTTTGGGAGAGCGTATCTCCCTCCACAGAGGTCCAATAAGGATGTGCCATATATCATTTTGAAGCTTGAGATGTCATTTAAGTGGTATCAAAAGTTGGTACTATTTGAAGATGTGTAGCATTCTGTAGGTCCAATTAAGTGGTGACTGCTAAGGGAGGCCATGTGCAGGGGCTGGACATGACTGCATCTTCCATGAAATTTTTTCTCCCTCATTTCTTACTCAAATTAGGCTTATGATATATCAAATTAAAGCTTAAAGTGTCTAGTTTTCTGTATAACAATTTGAGAGTAATTAGTTTAGTATATTTTCCAGAATCGCTGAAATTGTGAGGGATGTTTGGGGCTCTGTTTGAGGTTGGCAGACAGTTTTACTTGTCCAACTTCAAATGGTGATAACCGGAGGTAGAAAACTCCAAATGAGGAATGTGATACCTTGTTGGAAATTTATTGAGTCTATATTAACATCCTAAAACATGAGAATTTAATAACAAGTGGGTTGTAC